GGCGGGCGGCGGGGGCGGGGGCGCGGGGGGCGCCGCGCGACGTCACTGCGCGTTGGCCAGCTCGTCCATACGACATCTGGAACATACATTATACACTTGAATACGATAACGTCTGATACTGGGCAGAATCTAAGGGGGTCCTATAATACGAGCGCATTGCGAGCGTCCTCAACGTGGAGCGGGCGCGTAATGAATACGCCGCGGCTACGCAGCTAGGACGTCACAGATGGCAGGCAATTATACGTTTCTTTGCGCGTAGCAATCCTGTGTCACTATCATCCAGTGGACTAATAAGGGCCTTAGAAACCCGAGATAAAGCTACAAGCAGACTCCCAGCCAGTAGTTTGCCGCAGTGGCGGCGTGTAGTTACCTGACGGCCATCTCCGCGACCTCGAGGCTCGGGTAGTCGAGCTCCTTCACCAGGCACAGCACCGCAGACAGCAGGTTCGAGTTCTGGAACAATATAGTGCATGTGTCACCCTGTGTCACGTCATCCCGTGTAGTGCAGTAGAGTGCGGTGGGTGTGTGGTACCCGCGCGACGGGTCTCCGCGTGAAGCCGCGATGTTCCTGCATGACGGCGGAGTAGTGGCACGCGCTGTCCTTGTCCCGCGGGATGTCCCTGTCCCTGTCGGGCGCGCGCGCCCGCTCGTCCCACGCCTCGCCGCTGCCGCGCTGCGACATCTGGCCGCACGACTCCGACCTACAAACACAATCAGTTCCATTCTCACACAGCTACTCCCGTCGCACGCTGCTCGGCTTCTACTCATCGCAGCGTGATGTTTTATAGACTACAGTCACCCTCGATAAATGGGATCTATTCAACAAAAAATAAATTTTCAAATTGAGCCAGTAGTTTCGGAGTTACGCGCGTTGAAACAAACAAACTGTTTAGATTTCCTTATTATTGTATTACCGGGCCTATATTTACTTACAAGCCGTTTCTTTATAAACATCTCCCATAATTGTTATCGTAAAATACAATCTGGCCCGACCAGGGCGACCAGTCTGCACGTAACATAACTGACTTACGGAATGTCCCCGTTAAGTCGAGGCTCTATGGACTGTGCGATCTGACTGAGACTATACTCGGAATTTTAATTCGATTCCAGATTTGATAATTTCAGTGTTGCAACGTTATGACAAGTACTAAATAGAGACGTTGCGAAATCAATACATAGTATAAAACAAAGTCGCTTTCGCTGTATGTCCGTATGTATGCTTAGATCTTTAAAACTACGCAACGGATTTTGATGCGGTTTTTTTTAATAGATAGAGTGATTCTTAAGGAAGGTTTGTATGTATAATACATGCATATTGCACCCGTGCGAAGCCGGAGCGGGTCGCTAGTTATTCGATATAAAAATGCAATATTTCTGGATCGATTATTCTGGTTTATAATTTTACTGCCATACTAAATATATCAGGAAATTAAATATTTCTGAACCGATAATTTAGTTTTGACGATTAATTAACGATCTGAGACTTTTCTTTTATAATTGTCTGTGAAATAAATAAAAAAATGTAATCATGAAGGAACATGACAAATAAAACAGATAGATGTATTATGGTAATAAGTTATTTTATAAATTGTCGCCTTCATCGCTATCGCTATCCTGTCCCTTTCTGCAACATTTATTATAAAACACACACACTGATTGTTTATCGATTTTTGTGTTCATCACTACACTATTATATGTGGTATCATTATTTCACAAAATGACAGTAGCTATTGTCAAATCTGGAATCTAATTAAAATTCTGACTTTCGACGGCCCAATAATCTGCCGTCACCACTCGACACTGGCAGTATAGTCGACAACACTGTATTGGAGACTCCGCTGCCAAAAGGAAAAAAAAAAATTCTGACTATAGTCCGGTCAAGTAGCCATCCATTACAAAAACATCTATAACTAGCTTCTACCACCGCCTTCACCCGCGTTGCCAACGGATAAAGAGTGGCCTGTGACTATAGCCCCCCCTCAGCCGTGTTGACGTGGTTGTGTTACAACCAGACAGACGGACAGACCTGTCGCTCCGGTCGCAGTAGTTGTCGTGGTAGGGCGGCGACGTGACGCCACTGGCCGCCGGGTACCGACACTCGCCGTTAGATCCATACCCGTACTCCTACACACGGACAGACAAACATTACAAACATATACTGAATATCAACATACTGCACACTTTTAACTGTTAAAGATAAGGTCTAAAAGCTTTGTCAAACGACTATCGGCCGAAATTAATGATCGATTTTAATCCATAATGTCTGAATGAATCTTGAGTTGTTCACAGAAACATGGAACAAATTGATGGATAACATCTCTTTCCAAGTCTCGGAAACGTTTGGAACTTTGCATTGGAAGAGATGGATCGTGCGGTGACTAACTGAACTCGCTAAACAATACCGTAAAATGGGATGGATAGGGATCGAGAGGAGAATAGATACAGAAGAGTCGTGAATAGATATTAAAGAACGAACAAGAAACACCATCGCTACACTTAAAAAAAAATGTTTTTACAGTCTCATTAATACATTATGTGATCCTTTACCTAATGTTTATGTGAGAACGATGTAATGACAATACCACGTCAAAATTGAATGGGACTATGGAATCCAATCTAGAAATAAAATAAAAAGCTGCGAATGATTGTTTCAAACATCTGTCCATTATACACAGTCGGTCCCTATTGACCCCATTGGGCGGTTCCCTGTAAGAGTGAGTGCGAGGCAGTACCTTGACGCTGTGCATGGAGAGCGAGTGCCGCAGCGAGCTCGCGTCCGGGGACCGCGCCTGCAACCACACGGCGCGGTATGTATGTATGTATATGCACTGTGCCGCCAGACTGCCACTGAGCCATATTGTAGTAACACACGCAGGTATACACGGTACACATTGTAACATGGAATCGCAAATTAAAGCTTGTTATGTAATGTATTGAATATTGTAGTGTATTGTATTGTATTGTATTGTATTGTATTGTATTGTAGTGTGTTGTAGTGTATTGTAGTATGGTAATGGAAAGTATTCATTTAAAAGTATTTCAGTGTCGATTACTACATGCTTGCTACGATATGCTATGATTACTACTCGAGTACATTAATACTCACGTCGTAGTGCGAGCGCGTCATGGCGGGGTGCTCGTACCGCTCGTCCTCGTGCCGCGTCGGGGACCCCGTCCACTGTACAAACATACATACAAATATATTATACATAGTTACATTCCTACTGGTATACAGTGCACAGTGCAGTGCTGCTCGAGCATGATGTTAAACACTACATGTCCGGAAAAAATCGGTAATCCCCAAGTTGCTAGCCAAGTATGGGGATTATAACGAATACTCCTTTGTTTAGCAGTGAATGTATTCCGGGTGATAATGAATACAAGTAATGTTAATATGCAGATGCAGTTAGCACATACAGTCCTTGTTAGTAGGGAGTCATTCGACACAAACAATTACTGCGTTATCATAGTACGAGTATATTGTTAGCACAGAGATTAGTATTGTAGGAGCTGTAGTCAGCTAGTAAGAATAGTGAATACAATAAACACGTGTAAAAATGTCCCCTTACCGAAATTCATAAACTTTCAATTAATTTGATTCTTAATTTAGTTATAAAGCTCCCATCGATAGTGCCCGGTATAACCCAAAAGTAGGTCTTTCCAAGAGGTGTTTTCGCTGCAATTACCAAGCTAAGACACAAGACTGCCTCATTGGTCGAGTGGTCGCAAGTGCGACTACCGGGCAAGGGGTCTCGGGTTCGATTCCCGGGTCGGGCAAAGTATTACTGGGTTTTTTAAAAAACTCTGTAGTAGCACGGAGTCTGGAATTGTGCCTGGTATATGGCAATAGGCTCACCCACTATTACATGGGACTCATAACATAAGTAGTGAAAAGTGGGTGTTACATTGTCTAGTGGCATCAAGTGCCGTAATGTGCACCCCTGCCTATCCCTTCGAGGATAAAAGGCGTGATGTTATAATGATATTATGATTACCAAGCCAAATGTGGGGATTATGACCCATCACCCTCAAAAGAGAAATCTTTATTCACCAGTGGCCGTGTTGATTCTGATGATAACATTTGCTATAATGTGCCTTTTAAGCCAAGTGTGGGGATTATGGCGAACCCTCACCCCTTATGTCCAGCAGTGGTGATGATGACGTGTGCTATATATGTGTAGTAATACAGTGTGTCTGGGAGTAATGTACCTGCGCGTCCCTGGCGGGCTCCCCCGGCTCGGCGCCCGCCTCCGAGCTGTCGCTGCCCTGCGCCGGCCCACGCAACAATAGTTAGTACACACACATGCTACATGTTACCTTATGTTACAAACATAAACACACATAGAAAGGGTCGCACTGGGTTTTCTCTAATGATATAATTATATTTTTTTACTTTTAAAAGTACCCTTAACCGACGAACATGCATGAAAAGATTGATGACTGTTAATGAAGCGAAAGAGGTATGTAAGAATCGTAGTAATTGGCGTTCCTTAGTCTCTGCCTACCTCCATGGGAGACAGGCGTGAAGTTATGTATGTATGTATAATTATAATTATGCGTAGCCAATAGATAGTTAAACTATATGGATGAACACGGAGCAGGCAACAGGGAAATAATAAATTAATTAAATTATGAGTAGAGCAATGAGCCTTCAATATTTTATATATAAGAATGTACAAAGGTAAGACAACCCAGCACGACGTCCACGTTACTAACTTATCAAAGCATTAGCCAACTTTTATTGAAAGTTAATTAACAATGAAGTAGGTATTAACTAAGTATATATATAGTACATACAAATATGAATAACACACAAACAAACACATCGTTATTTAACCACATATTAATAATTCCATAAACAATACAATACAATGAGAACAAAACAAACACACACATATATATAACAAAGCTTCTTATACAGGAGAAACAATTGTTATCAATGTAACGCAGGTGATAACAGCAACTTCTCTACACTCCACACAATGTAGGCAGTGGTGGTAATATACCAGTACTGAAGCAATAACCGAATGAATTATGACAAAAGATGCCAGCACTGAAATATTGCACCGCTCCGAACAGTTCATCGTAAACAGGAGTAGTAGCCACCGAAGTTCAGGCTGCAATATCCTCTCAACTGTCGGTTATAACTGTGGTCCCCAAGTACATTGCCAAGTATGGGGATTAATTCTAATCCCCAATCTATCGACCCATGTATGGATGTATGTCGGCTGATGATGATATAGTCTAGTAGTACAGATACCTCATGCCTGGGCGGTGGTCGCGCGGAGTAAGTCTCAGGTTCTCGTTCCGGGCTGGACTCACACGAGCGCTGCCGCCGGTACTGGCCGTAGCTCTCTTGCTGTAATCAATTAATCATACATAGTACCATGGCATCAAACGCGTTGGACGAACTCAACGTAAAATTAAATGACAAGCCACTGAGAGATGGACAAAAACACAATTTTTGATGATCTAAAAGTAATTCTTCAATAGTCAGCCAATCATGGGGATTGGCCCCCTGACTGATACTGAGTCTTTATGCAGCAGTTGTGACAGTTTTTGGTATTCCTGCTGATATCGTATAGTGCCCTAGAGTTGTAGGTATACGTAGAATTCGCTCACCTGCTGCGGGTATCCCTCGTCGTCAGAGTCGGGGATGTGTAGACCGCGCCGCATCGCCTCCTGCACCTGGAAACACCATATATTCATTTGTTGTGATGTACCTAATATTACTACAAAACACCTTCACGGGGACTTGTTTAGTGTACGTTAGGTGTTTAGCTAGCAGTATTGTATTCTGTATCTTTCTAATATGACCATCAAACCACAGCCAATGTGTTCTGTTTTAAAAATGTGTCTGGAAAGCGTCGGACTGGACTTGATTGTTTCGGTACTTTGTAGTTTTGCAGTCACATCTGAACTCGTCAGTAAAAGGGGACTTGTAGTGATTATTCAAGTACGGTGGATTCTCTGACAAAGATAGCCTACCTCATCAGGCTGTACGGGCACATTGTCCAGTTTCTCCAAGTTGGGCAGGTTCCTGAGCACCGTCATACGGTAGTGTGGGTGTGTGGTGCACGGGTTCTCGTCCAGCCACAGACTGGTCAGCTCGGGCAGGTGGCGGAGGTGGCGGATCTCGTGCAGGTCGCTGATCTCGTTCTTGCGGACGTATAGCTCGCGCAGTCGCCGGCAGCCCGCGAAGTCTCCCAGCGTGCGGATCTTGTTTATACTGGAATGGTATACACGCATTATTACAAATATCATACAAGAATTAACAATTATCGGTTGTATATTATCAATTCCCAGTTCAGGGAAATTAATATCGAGATTTTGGCTTTCCTAGTAGACCGTGGAGTTTGCTATATCTGTTGTTTGTAATAGACCAGCTCCCTATTGTAGTGCATAATGATAATAACATAAGATAAAAGATGAGCATTGGGTATATCAACTTGTAAACAAAAAACAAACTTTTTTTTAAAAGAGTAACGAATGGAGTTTCTTGCTCGTTCTTCTCCACTCGAATCGACATTTTGGAACGAGCGCGTAGCTTCACTGACGGACAGACTGACAGACTATTATTTATTTCATATTTGTTGACGTTTCAAAAGTACCAAATTATGGTTTAATTGAAATAAATGCTTTTGAGTTTGAGTAAACTGCTCCTATGTTAGCATAGAATATGGTTTTGTTCGAAGAACGACCTTTGTGTGATAACATCGAGGACCGAGACAATAGCGTTGTGTGTTGTCAGCTTAATGACAAAACAATCATATATTTGTGAGCTGATAACTGACACAACAGACTGGGACACTCACTGTTGCCTTGCCATTGTTCGTGTAGATATTACCAGTCATACCTCGAAATGTACAGTAAGTGGCAATAAGTACAACAGTAATGGTAGTACAGTCCGGTGCGAGGTGAGCTTGCACAGCATTGTGCAACAGTGGCGCCACGCTCTGGTTGCGGCGCTGTCTTGCTAGCCGCTGGCCAGCCACCGGCCACTGGTTGCGACCACATTGTCCATTGTGCATTGTGTACAGCCGGCAGAGCTTGTTGACAGTCTCCGGTGTCTCCGCTCACCGCCGTTCCGGTACTTTCGATTCGCAACACTAAAGAACTTTCCATAGCGGAGCCTTTATTGAGATCCTTTGTCATTGTACCCTATGGACATTTGAGGTGTCGTACACTCGTACCACAGTAAGATAATTGCCGAGTACTTTAGTTACGCACGGTGTGTTTGCAATGCGTGACGTCACGAAATGCGTGCGTTACGCACCGCGCAGTGGCCACGGTACAAGGACCAGAGATTTCTCTGCGAGAAACTGCAGCCCTACATAACTATACAGCGTAATATAACGTAATCTGAAGCAGAGACAGATTGTCTCCATTACTTCAGCAACATTCATTAACTATCCGGATTACTAGTCCATTTAAGGGCTCGAACACAAAACTGCGATGGTACGTCCCATCGCAAATATGTGCGAGTTCCCTCTACGCATCGCAAGAACTTGCGAATTGATTCGCATCGCGCATCAAAATCTTATCTTCCCAAAATCCTCTTTGTTTCTTGTTCCTGTATCTCCTAAGCAATAACAGAAGTGCACACTTCTTTTTACGATCCATGTCACGACCTTGTTTTCAATTGAAAATACGTTTAGTACGGTTAACGGTCGCCGAAGGAATGGTCGCCCTTTTTTTAGTTGGAGGAGTTGGTTGGAGCCTGCCGAAGACTTATTGTGAACGAATACCTCTAGAATTTCCCACACAACAACAAGCTAGAAAAATTCCCAAATGAGCGAAACATCATCTGCAGCAACTAGCTATACAGAACTATACATTTTTTATTGAAATTCAACGTAATCACAAAACAATAAAGTTGAAAATGCATTAAAGATATAGTTTGATGCACTATCGTCTGTGTAGACAACAATGAACTTCAAGTTGTCTTGTAAAACCAATTACGCGAGTGTAAGTAGTAGACAGTGAGCTCAGACGAGGGGGGCGCGAGTGTCGGCAGACAGGTCACGACCTCGCCGCGTGCCCAGCAGTCCCTGCTTATAGGGATATAGGAAACTCAATTACACGGGATAGCTGTTTCACAGCAAAGATGAGCATCCTAATTGTAAACTATCGGCTATAGCATGGCTAGGCAGTCGAAATTATTAACAGCTGATTTCAATTCAAATTCATTGGATGACATGATATGTACAGAGTTGCTAAAAACTGAGATCGATCCAAGGAATACATACATGCATAACCTCACACCTGTCTCCTATGGGGGTAGGCAGAGACTATGGAATGCACATTGCTACGATTCTTACATACTTCTTTCGCTTCCTTAACAATCATCAGTCTTTTCATGCATGCTCGTCAGTTAAGGGTACTTGTAATTTGGCCCAGTTGCAACATGTTCATCTAGGCGTCTCTCTATCGCCGGTCCCATTCGTATCCGCTCTGTATAAGATTTTGGAACAATATCATTTATTTTAGTCATTAGATTGCCGTCTACACTGCGCCAGGGTTCGTCACCCGCGGGGACAGGTTGATTGCCTTACAGTTACATAAAGCTGTCAGAACTCCATGCCATAGTGTCACTTATCACTCGTCACTTAGGTTTGAGTGACAACTGTCAGCAGCTACTGAGTGTAATGAGCAGTGAAGCAGTCAGCTTTCACCGCGAGCATACAATCAGTGTCAGCACTCGGCCGCCTAATGACTCGTTATTACTGATCGATGGTTCAAACCAGCTCACTATCCATTTTGTACTAAGACTAAACTGTTTTACTATTTTATTTGATTTGCCTCATTAGCCGAGTGGTCGCAAGAGTGACTGCCGGGCAAGGGGTCTCAGGTTCACTTCCCGGGTCGGGCAAAGTACTGGAATTGTGCCCGGTATATGGCAATAGGCTCGGCCCCTATTACATGGAACTCATGACGTTGGTGGTGAAAAGTGGGTTTTACATTGTTGTACAGTTACAGTAGCATTAAGAGCCGTAATGTGCACCTCTGCCTACCTAATCGGGGATAAAAGGCGTGATGTTATGTTTTGTTCATTTGTTAGTCTTCAACTTCAAGATCATACATTATGTGAGAAGTGAGACGCTTGCATTATTGATTCAGATTTTATCCCTATCTTACGCACAAATAATGAAATAGCGTCTTAAAAGGCCGGCAACGCGCTCGTCTGCCTTGCGTCTGGTTTCATAAAAAAAACCGGTGTGATGCGACTCCTGACATGGCTAGTGGGACTACTGGAAGCTAGTTCACTATAAACTCCTTAACTCCCTAGTGCGACATTGCTTGAGACTGTACCGAGAGTACCGAGGTATGGGGGGCGCGGGCGCGGGCGCGGGCTCAGTCGCGCGGAACAGACGAGCTTTGATCGCCATTTCGCACACGTTGTTTATCGCTAACTTACTGTACCACACATCAGTACCTACGAGAACGACGTCTGCTCCCACCAGACTACAGTATTGTAGCCTGTACGTATACTCGATACCTGTATAGTGAACACTGGACAAGTACCGACCAAACCAGATCTCAAAGCAAACGAGTTAGTATTGTATTGTAGTGCATCGAGCTGTGGAGACAGGCTGTGTCCCGGAGGTCACCCACGTGTAGTGTGTGTAGGTGTCTTCAAGGGCGCGCCTCTGTCGATACCGTCTGCGTCATTGTCCAGGACTGAATAATACAACCGGTGATAAACACCAAGTGTACACCCTGTACAAATAAAGGCGAATTTATTGATCGATGGTCTAATGGCTGCCTCGCCCTAACGCACCTGGTACGGGTGCACTCTATTCTTGCTATTATGGAAAATGTATCCTTATTACCTGTGCACTAGGATTGTGACTCACCTGAGTGCCAGCACCTCCACGTTGGGCATCCTGCGCAGCAGACTGACATCGCCTAGCTCTGCACCCCTGTAACCAAACAAAGAGTTCATTAATTAGCTGTATGTACACACTCAGATGATAACACTCATTGTTCCTCCACAAACATACAAGACTGCATCACGAAACACATTACCTAGTAAGTACTTAAGTATCCGAAGTTACAATCTTTGATCTTATGGAATTTGCAGTGCAATGCAGTGGACGGAGTCAAGATGTCTGACTGTTTTAGGCAGCTGAGTATAAATAACAACAAACGTAACATTATGAGCAGTGTATGGCGCTGAAGTTAGGGACTGAAAGTAATGGAATACTTGCAATACCAGCGCGGCGTACACACAGACGTGTGACGATGTGGACTGTACAGGAGCGGCCCGGCATGATTAGCACGGCACGCTAATTACTCGTGGGCAGCATGTTTCAAATAATTTGTGATATACATACTAACGAAGGGTTTACATTACGTCGTGAAAAGTATTCACTTGGGAAGTTGTCACTCGTCCACTGTGGCCACTATGGCTTGTCCTTGAATACTTGTACCATCTTCATTACCATCGGTTGGAATGTGCCCACTGCTGAACAAAGGCTCTCTTAACTCAAGAACTGCTTGAATCCTTAATCATGGCAGTTCGGTTGTGAAACGCAGTTAAGTTACCAAAAGTTCAATGGATGCCGCCCAGTTTTAGGACATCCGCCACCCGGATCAAGTCTTATAGTTCATCTATTTAGAATTCAGTCAAAACTTCAGGTGGAACCGGAAAAGAAGCATAATTATTGAGTTTCAAACGCGGCGGTGGCGGTTCAAAGATCATCTGTACACGACATGTGTATTTACATTTGTGTGATGTGAATGTAAACATTCCCAAAATAATTCGTATTGTTTTCAAAATAGAGGGCACACGAGACTACTGGTACCATCCAGACACCATCCTGTGTACAGCGGCCACAACGCAATAAAACAGAGCGAAACAATGACGCTCAGGGTCTCCGACCCACTCAGATGACTTATCCCGCAAAGAGAAATAATCCTGACTGCCTCGTTGGCCGAGTGGTCGCAATTGCGATTGCCGGGCAAGGGTTCTCGGGTTCGATTCCCGGGTCGGGCAAAGTATTACTGGGTTTAAAAAAAACTCAGTACTAGCATGGAATCTGGAAATGTGCCCGGTATATGGCAATAGGCTCACCTCCTATTACATGGGACTCATAACATAAATAGTGAAAAGTGGGTGTTACATTTGTACAGTGGCCTTAAGTGCCGAAATGTCGGTGGGAGAATGCCCTTCGTGGGCTGAGCACCGCCGTGTCCTCAGGGAAGTGATCGGCGATGGCGACCTCTCGCGTCCGGGCCTAGTGCAGGCCATGATGCGGAGCGAGGGGGATTGGGATGCCGTCTCCTCCTTTTGCGAAGCAGTCATGCTAGCTAAGGAGGAGGCGGGACGCGTGAGGCAGCGAAGC